AAAAAAAAAGAATAACAATTTTTCACTAGTGAATCACTTAATCCTTCTTCCTGTTTTAGTCTTGAAGTTCTGAACCCTCTTCACCAGGGGTGACCGTATTTAAAATATCTGTGGCATAGCTGCCAGCATCAAGGATAGTTTAATTGTTTTTATAAATAGAATATCTGTTGAAAGAGTACTCAAAAACTGAATAAACAGTCCTTTAGCATGCCCCTCTCTGACCGTGTCACCGGGGCAGTCTGCACCCTGCTGGTGAAGCCTTTGGCCTGTCCTCCGCTATCTGCTGACCTGCCAAACTCCGATCGTGGCACATACAAATAAGAAAGAAAAAAATGATAGGTTTGGGGTTTTGTTAGTCCTTGAGTTTGGGATGATTTGATATGTAATTTTATTCTGGCAAAAGCTAATTGATAAACAAATCATATTTTCCTTCAACTCCAGGAAGCTTTCTGTGTTTCCCACGGCCAGCATCTGACAATCTAGGAAATCCGACACCCATCAAATGGACTGCAGGTCAAGAGAACGATGAGTGACCAGTGCTTGTTGCTTTTATCATTTTATTTGACTCTCGTGAATATCCTGATTCGTGAAGTTATGACGTGCTAGGTAAAGAAGCAACATGCCCGAATGCTGACTCTAAGAGACGCATCACGGCCAGCAGTTTGTTAAAGTTTGTTCTTTTTGGTAACATTCGGTGATGCAAAGCATACCAAGAGGGAGAAAGAAATGATAGACAATAAATATAGGCCTGCCATTTCAAAGTACTGACTTTGTCATGAGTGGCAGTGCCTGCATATTTATTCCAGTGACAGACATCAGCTCCTCCATCAGAGTGACCAGCTGGGACCTGGAGCAGAAGGAAGACAAACAAGAGATGGGAACGGCAGGAGGAAAAGCACATGCCTTTGTTTCTTTTCACTTCCACTGTCTACATATGGTCATCATTTCTACATATGGAGGGATATGAGTAGCCTCAAAACTATCTTGACGTCACTTGAGTATTAACTTATGTCCATTACTGGTGTCGTTTAGGAATTAGTGAGCCCCTATTGTGCATAATGCACTGGATTGAGGCATGGGACAAGATGGATGCCGACAGAAAGTGCCCTAGCTC